GCCCTCGACTCCGCTACTAAAAAAATACAAATACCTAGCTCGGAGCGAGGTGGCGGCGTCTGCAAGTCCCGCTCAACTCGGCGAGGGCTGGAAGGCCAGGAGAATGGCGTAAACCGGGAGGCGAGTTTGCAGTAAGCGACATGGCGGCCCACTGCACTCCAGCCTGGCACAAATTGCAGAGACGTCGTCCTCAAAAAAAAAAAAAAGAAACTACTCACATTTAGCCTCGCCCGCCTATGCGTGGGCCTGTGCCGTGTAGTCCCCAGCTACCATTGCTTGGAGCTGAGAGAGAGGATGGCTTTGAGCCTAGAAGCGGGAGAGGAGAGGGAAGAGGAGAGGGAAGAGAAGGAAAGGAAAGGAGAAGGAAAGGAATTGCTAATCATGGTTGTCTCTAGGGAATGCAACTATTTTTACTGTATAGAAGTAGTTATTACTATAGTCATAATTCATATACAATTTTTTTAAAGAAAAAAGATAAATTTTGAAAAGTAATGGCTGGTCCAAGTGAAGTGCAGTGATGTTTAAAACTCATTGATCACAATCAGTTACAGTTTTCTTTGTTTTTCCTCCATTCACACTGTATTACATGACTAGCCTTCAAAAACTTTTCTTTTAATTTTTAAACATTTCCAAAAGTAGAACTGTCAAAGAGAATGCAAGCTTTTCACAGTTATAAGTTGAGACTACTACTTATCCTTTACTGTAAAAGGACTATTTTTCAGTTGGCGTATGGTAATTTCATATATATAACTGAATATAGAAAAACAACAAATGTGTGCTACTAAATCAATGTCACACTTTTTATTTTAATACATAACTTTTTTTGAGGATGCACCCAGGAAAAAATACAAGTCACAGGACACCTGCAATCTGTGCTTTCCTCAATGCCACTCATATAATCTAAACCAAATTAAGTATTTTAACAGAAAATTAATTTGTCAGAAATAAAATATACCTAACTCCTCTTACCTGCCATAGATCCAGCCATTAATCTGTGCACATGACCCGAAATTCCCAGCTTCGTAGTAATTAACTAGAAAACAAGAACACTGAATTAAATGAGATATTTTTTAAATGCTGCCCATTTTACTGTTTAATAATGAAGATTTATTTCAAGAGTTACAGGACTAATAAAAAGAAAATTAATAATAAATGTGAACGAAATGAGCACAATTAAATACAGCTTGGCAGTATTATATCACAGCAAAGGGGATGTTTCCTCTGCAGTCTCTGCTTTAATTTTTTGCCTTTCTGCAGATGCAAACTAGCTTAGAATTGCTAAATATATGATACTGTGTATTAAGGAACACAAGCCCTTAACAAGTGACTGAGGGTAGTAGGAATAAATTGTTACTTTTTTTTTTTTTTTTTTTTTGAGACGGAGTCTTGCTCTGTGTCCCAGGCTGGATTGCAGTGGTGCAATCTCAGCTCACTGCAACCTTCGTCTCCTAGGTTCAAGAGATTCTCCTGCCTCAGCCTCTCAAGCAGCTGGGACTACAGCCACATGCCACGACGCCTGGCTAATTTTTTATTTTTTAGTAGAGACGGGGTTTCACCATATTGGTCAGGCTGGTCTTGAACTCCTGACCTCAGGTGATCCACCCACCTCGGCCTCCCAAAGTGCTGGGATTATAGGCGTAAGCCACCGCACCTGGCCTAATTTTTTATTTTTATTTTTTTTAATGCTCTATAGACAATGAAGTCCTGATATACAAATGGTATCAATTCTCTCTGGCTGACTCAAGCTCCACCTCCTGGGTTCACACCATTCTCCTGCCTCAGCCTCCTGAGTAGCTGGGTTCCACCATGTTAGCCAGGATGGTCTCGATCTCCTGACCTCGTGATGCACCCAGGCTGGAGTGCAATGGCACAATCTTGGCTCACTGCAACTTCCATATCCTGGGTTCAGGCGATTCTCCTGCGTCAGCCTCCTGAGTAGCTGAGATTACAGGCATGTGCCACCACATCTGGCTAATTTTGTATTTTTAGTAGAGAAGGGGTTTCTCCATATTGGTCAGGCTGGTCTCGAACTTCTGACCTCAGCTGATCCTCCCACCTCAGCCTCCCAAAGTGCTATGATTACAAGTGTGAGCCACTGCGCCCAGCCAGTTTCACTATTTTATTTAATAAGAAAATCCAAAGTCACAGTGTTCCTCTCCTACAATTGAGTAACAAAAAGCACACTAAATGCTGGAGCCCACGGATAGCTTGGGCCCAGGAGTTCCAGATTAGCATGGGCAACACAGTGAGACCCCACCTCTACAAAATGTTTTTTAAAAAATTAGCCAGGCCTCCTCTCCACCACTGAAAAAGAAAGAAAGAAAGAAAAAAAAATTAGCTGGGGGTGGTGGCACATGCCTCTAGTGCCAGTTACTTAGGAGGCTGAAGTGGGAGAACTGCTTGAGCCCATGAGGTTGAGGCTGCAGTAAGCCATGACAACGTCACTGCACTCCAGTCTAGGAGACAGAGAAACTATCTCAAAAAAGAAAGAATAGAATAGAATAGAATAGAATAGAATAGAATAGAATAGAATAGAATAGAATAGAATAGAAGGGAGGGAAGGAGGGAAGGGAAACACATTAAAAATATATTAATATTTTATGGATTTATTATCTTCTTTAAAGATACTCTAGCTTTCATTCATTAGGAGTGAACATAGGCCGGGCGCGGTGGCTCAAGCCTGTAATCCCAGCACTTTGGGAGGCCGAGACGGGCGGATCATGAGGTCAGGAGATCGAGACCATCCTGGCTAATACGTGAAACCTCCTTCTACTCAAAAAATACCAAAAAACTAGCCGGGCGAGATGGCGAGCGCCTGTAGTCCCAGCATACTCGGGAGGCTGAGCAGGAGAATGGCGTGAACGGGGAGGCGGAGCTTGCAGTGAGCTGAGATCAGGCCACTCGCACTCCAGGCTGGGCGACAGAGCGAGACTCCGTCTCAAAAAAAAAAAAAAAAAAAAAAAAAAAAAAGGAGTGAACATAAAGAATTTACTTGGCCGGGTGCAGTGGCTATACCTGTAATCCCAAGACTTGGAGGCCAAGGCGGGGGATCACCTGACATCAGGAGTTCCAGACCAGCCTGACCAACATGGTGAAACCCCGCCTTATCTAAAAATAAAAAATTAGCCAGGCATGGTGGTGCATGCCTGTAAGAATGTAGGAGGCAGAGATTGCAGTGAGCCAAGATCATGTCATTGCACTCCAGCCTAGGGAACAAAAAGAAACTCCGTCTCAAAAAATAAATAAATAACTCATAACTGACTAACAATTCTGGAATCAGTAACTCCAAAGACAATTTAATTTAAAAGCTTAAGCTATCACAAGTTCTTATTCTTTAAAAAGGCATTGCTATAATCAAAAGTAACTTTTTGGCCCATGTTATCATGGCTCATGCCTGCAAGACCAACCACTTTTTTTTTTTTTTTTTTTTTTATTGAACAGAGTCTAGCTCTGTCGCCCAGGCTGGAAGCACAGTGGCCAGATCTCAGCTCACTGCAAGCTCCGCCTCCCGGGTTCACGCCATTCCCTGCCTCAGCCTCCGAGTAGCTGGACTACAGGCGCCGCCACCTCCCTGGCTAGTTTTTGTATTTTTTAGTAGAGACGGGTGTTCACCGTGTTAGCCAGGATGGTCTGATCTCCTGACCTCGTGATCCACCCGTCCTCGCCCCAAATGCTGGATTACAGGCTTGAGGCCACGCGCCCGGCCAAGACCAACACACTTTGGGAGGCCAGGAGTTCGAGATAAGCCTGGCCAAAAATGGCAAAAGTCCTTCTCCTACTAAAAATACACAAAATTGGCCAGGCATGGTGGCACAAGGCCTGTAATCCCAGCCACTCAGGAGGCTGAGGCAGGCAAGAACTGCTGAACCTAGGAGGTGGAGGTTGGCAGTGAGCCTTTCAAAATAGTGTCACTGTACTCCAGCCTGGGCAGCGAGACTCTGTCTCAAAAATTTAAAAAAAAAAAAAAAATAAAATTTAAAAATATGAAACTTTACATATTTTTTGTTTTTTTTTTTTTTTTTTTTTTTTTTTTTTTTTTTTTTGAGACGAGTCTCGTCCTCCTGTTCCCAGGCTGGAGTTCATGGCACCATCTTCCGGCTCACTGACAGCTCCCGCTCCCCGGTTCATGCCATTCTCCTTCTCAGCCCCCGAGTAGCTGGGACTAACAGGCGCCCCGCCCACTCGCCCGGCTAGTTTTTTGTATTTTTTAGAGAAGACGGGGTTTTCACCGTGTAGCCAGGATGGTCTCGATCTCCTGACCTCGTGATCCGCCCGTCTCGGCCTCCCAAAGTGCTGGAATTACAGGCTTGAGCCCACGGCGCGGCCCAACTTTACAATTTTTTAAATGTCCAAAGCAAATGCCTGGTCAAGCATGCACAATATTCAAGAATGCAAAAGAGAAAAGATCAAAGTTTAACTACCGTTTTATAATGCTCAAATGCCATAAACTGGATTGCACCATAGGGAAAGATTCGAATCATCATTGCACCATTTCCTTTATACAATCCAAGGAATCCTTCTTTTTGAGGAACAGCACGCAATGCAGAAAATACTCCTATTTTTAGAGGAAAAATGCTGTTAAAACAGAGAAAATTACCTAAATCTAAATTTTCATGACAACCACAGATAAAGATTAATGTGCCATCACTTGGGATATAATTTTGCTTAAGGGATTACATGAATAGTAATTTCTATAAAACAGCTAAACCTACTAAAAATACAAAATATATCCAAATAATATAAATAAGCACACCCCATATAATATAAAACCTACTGTAGAAACAGCTACAAATTACAACAAATTCTATTTATAATAATAGCAAATTATATTAAACTATAGCAATCTAAAAAATATTAACAATAGAAATATATGCAAGGTCTAGGTTTGCACTAAAGATGATCTACTCTTTTTTTTTTTTTTTTTTTTGAGACAGAGTTTCATTCATGTTGCCCCAGCTGGAGTGCAGCGGTGTTATCTGGGCTCCCTGCAACCTCCGCCTCCCTGCACTCTCTGCCTCCCAGGTTCAAATGATTCTCCTGCCTCAGCCTCCCAAGTAGCTGGGATTACAGGTGCCCGCCACCACGCCCAGCTAATTTTTGCATTTTTAGTAGAAACGGGGTTTCACCATGTTGGCCAGGCTGGTCTCGAACTCCTGACCTCGTGATCCACCCGTCTCGGTCTCCCAAAGTGCTGGGATTACAGGCGTGACCCACCATGCCTGGCCCTGAAGATGATCTACTCTTATCTGGAAGGATGAAGGCAGGTTTCAGAGGCCTACCCAGATACATGTGTTTTGTTTGTTTACATAAAGAGACTTTTAAATAAAACAAGCAAAAAGACTACCTATTAATACTCTTTAAGTGTGGGGGCAAATTTTCATTATTAGGACACTTTAGGAATAATGATAAACAAAGGGCTCAGTTGTAATCTATATACAGTGATATTCTGAGCTTTCTAACTGACAAGTAAAAAATATAGATATAGATACATCTATATATAGTGATATCTTTATTACTTTATTAACATCGGTCACTAATCCTACAAGCAGTATACAGACTTCTCAAAAACACATGACTACTTCCATTATTCAACAATTTAAATTCAAGTTTCCTTTCAAATTTTTCAAGCAAACTTTTGATCAAATATGAAAGTAAATCACCAGGCTCATTTCAAATTTTAGACTGCAAATAACCTTTTCAGCCCTTCTCAGTAATTAAAATTGTAGGTACTTATTAACATCCAAAAGATATATCCCAAAAGTATCTCACAATAAGCAGATATCTAAATGTACTAACATTCTGTTAAGAAGAATCCTGGCGTTGCGTGGTGGCTCATGCCTGTAATTCCAGCACTTTGGGAGGACAAGGCAGGTGGATCACCTGAGGTCAGGAGTTTGAGATCAGCCTGGGCAATATGGTGAAACCTCGTCTCTACTAAAAATACAAAAATTAGGCAGGCATGGTGTCCTGTGCCTGTAATCCCAGGTACTCAGGAGGCTAAGGCAGTCTGACCTACATGATGAAACTCTGTCTCTACTAAAAATACAAAAATTAGCTGGAAGTGGTGGCAGGTGCCTGTAATCCCAGCTACTAGGGAGCCTGAAGCAGGAGAACTTTTTGAACCCGGGAGGCGGAGGTTGCAGTGAGCCAAGATTGTGACACTGCACTCCAGCCTGGGCAATCAGTGAAACTCTGTCTCAAAAAAACAAACCAAATTGGAATAAGGAGAAATTTTAAATATACTCCTTCCTTATAATTTGAGGAAAATAATTTTAATTTAAAATAAGAAGTACAACCAGGCACAGTGGCTCATGCCAATAGTCTGAGCACTTTGTGGGGCCAAGGTGAGAGGATCGCTTGAGCACAGGAATTTGACACCAACCAGCCTGACTCAGCCTCCCAAAGTGCTGGGATTACAGGCGTGAGCCACTGCACCTGGCCTTTGTCTTTTTATACAGTTTTTTTTTTTTTTTTTTTTTTAGACATGGTCTTACTCTGTCACCCAGGCTGGAGTGCAGTGGTGTGATCACAGCTCACAGCAGCCTCTACCTCCTGGGCCCAAGCAATCTTCCTGCCTCAGCCTCCTGAATTGCTGGGACTAAAGGCAAGCGCCACCATGAGACCAGCCTGACCAACATGATGAAACCTCGTCACTACTAAAAATACAAAAATTAGCCCAGCATGGTGGCACGCACCTGTAATCCCAGCTACCTGGGAGGCTAAAGTTGAAACCAAGAGGCAGAGGTTGCAGTGAGCCAAGATCGCGCTACTGCTCTCTAGCCTGGGTAACAGAGCAAGACTCCATCTCAAAAAATAAAAAATACATAAATAAAAGACATATAAAATAAAAACACGTCTTTGATGCCTTGGAAGTAATGTCACACTTTTTATAAGAAGTTGGAGTAAGGCCGGGCGCGGTGGCTCAAGCCTGTAATCCCAGCACTTTGGGAGGCCGAGGCGGGTGGATCAC